GGGCCTGCTTTGCCAAGCTCCCAAGCTACTGACTGTTTGTGACCCACCCTGCTGCTTGCTGCCTGTGGGCAGACTGTGCTTGCCTGGCCTGAGGGAGGACTCTCCTATCTGCTTCTTTGACCTTGGACCCAGAAGCCCATGTGAGTTTAAGGAATCCAGTATATTAACTGTTCCATGGAAGTGAGTTGGACTGAACCCTCTGGACTTCTGTGTGGACTAATTAGCTTCTCGCTGTATAAACCTATCCTCCTATATATATAAAATCATAAGTGTCCTGGTTTTGTTTCTCTAGAGAGCCCTGCCTAACACACTCATTAACAACTGTCAATACGCAGATGACGCAACCTTACTTGTTGAAAGTGAGGAGGACTTGAAGCATTTGTTGATAAAGATCAAGGGTTGTAGCCTTCATTATGGATCACAACTCAATGTCAAGAAAAGCAAATTCCTTACAACTGGACTAATAGGTAACATACTGATAAATGGGGAAAAGATTGAAGTTATCAAGGATTTCATCTTGTTTGGATCCATAATCAACGCTCATTGGAACAGCAGTCATGACATCAAACAATGCATTGTATTAGGTAATATGCTGCACAAAACTTCTTCAAAGTGTTTAAAAGCAAGGATATTAATTTGTAGACTAAGATGTGCCTGACCCAAACCATGGTCTTTTCAATCACCTCAGATGCATGTATAAGTTGGACATTGAATAAAGAAGTACCAAGAAAATTTGATGAAACTGAATTATGGTTTTGGTGAAGAATATTGAAAGTACCATGGACGTCCAAAAGAACAAATATATCTGTCTTGGAAGAAGTACAGACAGAAGGCTCTTTAGAGACAAGGATGACAAGACTTTGTCTCATGTACTTTGGACATGTTATCAGGAAGGACCAGTCCCTTCATGCATAGTAAGGGGGAGGGGCAATGAAAAGGAAGACCCTCAGCAAAGTGGATTGACGAAGTGCTTGCCACGCTGACAAGAACAATTGCAAAGATGGCCCAGGGCTGAGTGGTATTTTGCTCTGTTATACATAGGGTCAGTAAAAGTCAGAATGCACTCAATGGCACCTCACAACTACAAAAACAACTCCTACCTGCTTGTGACTTGAGCTTGACTTTGTTCCATCCTCTGATTTTTGTCTGTTTTGTCTTTGCATATGTCTCTTTATTTCTTGCAAGCAGGATATTAATGGTTTGTGTTTTCTTATCCATTCTGTTAGTCTTTTTCTCTTAACTGCTAGATT